CAAGAATATATATGATTTATAGGGTCGGAAATGACTGCATCACGAGTTGCAAGCTAAAAGACTAAAATTATAATACCATTTTTTGATCGATATTTATCAATAATTTTTATACAAAAATTTAAAAAAAATCAAAACTTAAAAACCTCATAACTAAGTCAAAAAAGCATTAATTTTGATGGTGTCATGCTAGTTTAAATTGCGTTAACAAATCTGCATACTCAGTTTAAAATGTAAAAAATTTAAAATTTTTTTCAAGTTTCGACATTTTTAACGATGTAACCCCTTAAAAAATTTAAAAAAATGGCAAAAAAATTTGTTTTTCTATTATATGCCTAGAAAGATTCGCCTGATGATGCTGATCAAGAATATATATGATTTATAGGGTCGGAAATGATTCCTTCGTGAGTTACAAGCTTCTGACTGAAATTATAATACCATTTTTTGATCGATATTTATTAATTATTTTTTATGTAAAAATTTAAAAAAAACAAAAATTAAAAAACTCATAACTAAGTCAAAAAAGCATTAATTTTGATTCGGAAAGCGGTGTCATGCTAGTTTAAGTTGCGTTAACAAATCTGCATACTCAGTTTAAAATGTAAAAAATTTAAAATTTTTTTCAAGTTTCGACATTTTTAACGATGTAACCCCTTAAAAAATTTAAAAAAATGGCCAAAAATATGTTTCTGTAGTATATGCCTAGATAGATTCGCCTGATGATGCTGATCAAGAATATATATGATTTATAGGGTCGGAAATGACTCCTTCATGAGTTACAAGCTTCTGACTAAAATTAGAAAACCAATTTTTGATCGATAATTATTAATACTTTTTTATTTAAAAATTTAAATAAATCAAAAAATTAAAAAACTCATAACTTAGTCAAAAAAGCATTAATTTTAATTCGGAAAATGGTGTCATGCTAGTTTAAATTGCGTTAACAAATCTGCATACTCAGTTTAAAATGTAAAAAATTTAAAATTTTTTTCAAGTTTCGACATTTTTAACGATGTAACCCCTCAAAAAATTTAAAAAAATGGCAAAAAAATTTGTTTTTCTATTATATGCCTAGAAAGATTCGCCTGTCGATGCTGATCAAGAATATATATGATTTATAGGGTCGGAAATGACTCCTTCATAAGTTACAAGCTTCTGACTAAAATTATAATACTATTTTTTGATCGATATTTATTAATTATTTTTTATGTAAAAATTTTAAAAAACCAAAACTTAAAAAACTCATGGCTTAGTCAAAAAATCATTAATTTTAATTCGGAAAGCGGTGTCATGCTAGTTTAAATTGCGTTAACAAATCTGCATACTCAGTTTAAAATGTACAAAAATATTAATTTTTAACAGTTTTTGACATTTTTAGCGATGTAGCCCCTATACAATTAAAAAAAAATGACAAAAAATTTGTTTTTCTATTATATGCCTAGAAAGATTCGGCTGTTGATGCTGATCAAGAATATATATGATTTATAGGGTCGGAAATGACTCCTTCATGAGTTACAAGCTTCTGACTGAAATTATAATACCATTTTTTGATCGATATTTATTAATTATTTTTTATGTAAAAATTTTAAAAAATCAAAATTAAAAAACTCATAACTAAGTCAAAAAAGCATTAATTTTGATTCGGAAAGCGGTGTCATGCTAGTTTAAGTTGCGTTAACAAATCTGCATACTCAGTTTAAAATGTAAAAAAATTTAAATTTTCATCATGTTTTGACATTTTTAACGATGTAACCCCTTAAAAAATTTAAAAAAAAATGGCCAAAACTGTGTTTCTGTATTATATGCCCAGAAAGATTCGCCTTTTGATGCTGATCAAGAATATATATGATTTATAGGGTCGGAAATGACTCCTTCATGAGTTACAAGCTTCTGTCTGAAATTAAAGTACACAGAAAGGGTATAACAAGAAAGAAATCTTACTTCGGAAAACCGAAAGATAAATAGCTTTAGATCTTAACCGAATTTGAAATCAATCATAACTATCAAAAATGCATTTCAATTTCAAGTTAAAAAACATTTATGTGCTAGTTTTTAGGGGGGTAAAAGATCTTCCTACGAAATTCAAATGTATTAAAATTATAATTTTTATACATTTTTGAACATTTTTATAATGTTATATAAAGTGTACAAATAACAAAGGGTACATTTTTGTACTGACTGAAATTGAAATACTGCCAAAGGTTATTGCTTTTCTTTCTCTCAGTGTCGAAGCTGTGGCCGCCGAGTGGTCTTTCCTTTTCTTAAGATAACGTAACACCGGGGTATGGGATCACTATATACGATTGAGAATCGGAATGGGAAAGGGATTGGTCCCCGAATGAAGTGAAGTGGAAGTGGAAGCGGGGCGTTCATTAAATGATAACAGAGCGACGGCCGCGTCCGAGTGATAAGGCCATTTGAACTAACCCGCTCCGACAGCTGATACAGGTAGTAGGAACAGCAGGAGCAGGAGCAGGAGCAGGAGCCGGAGCAGGAGCCGGAGCAGGAGGAGAATGTGGACGAAATGGAATTCAACTAATGACAATTCCCAGAAACTGAAGAAAAGACAAACCGAGAGACCCAATGCTGGAGGTAATGATCAAGCCAAAGCGGGGCAGCAGAAACAGAAGCTGTAAGGAGAAAAATGATTTAAATACACGCAATCCTCGAGGCGCCACAGTGGACGGACCAAGTCCTTAAATTTATGATGCAATTTGTTTGCAAAAAATAAACAAAACAAAACAAAGCAAAACAAAACAAGATAAAGGCAAAATAAACAATCGAGGAACACACATTGTGAATAAATAAGTTTATTCTCTCATTCTCTGCCTTTTCTCAGGGAATATTTTGCATTTTCTTTCGAAAATTTAATTGAGAATTTTAAAACTCGAAGTATTGAGTTCAATTTTGTAAAGACTCTGCAAAATTTCAATGTCTGAGTCATCGGTGAGTCAATTTTACAGATCACCTAGACTCGGAATCCTTTTTTCCAGGTAGTCATAGCCATAAATATAAAAATCCTGAAACAAAAATCGAAAGCTAAGCCCCGCTTTGCATGCCTCCCCATCATCTCGATGAAGATTATATGCTACAGAGGAGCGGCAGGGGATGGGAGATCAGGAGGTGGAGCTGGAGGAGCAGGAGGAGCACCACATGGAGCGGGAGCAAAACGGCAGCCATCCGGGAATCGCTTTACGTCTTCTGCGAAATATTCATTACAGCAAATTTGTAAAGGCAATCGACGGGGCAGACACCAAAGGGGGTGCACTGTTCGAAATTAATTACCAATAGAAGAGCTTAACATAAATTAAAAGCCGAATAACAAACAAATTACAACATATAGATTCGAGATAGCTCTCTTCCACGCTTTTCCAGAAAATAGCTTTACTCTGAGGGAGCTTCGCATTTCAGATCTGAGAGAGATCATTTGTATCTACTAGATACTAGATACTATCTAGGCTTGAAGGCGGAATTACATGTACGTGAATTACTAAATTAGTTATTTCTAAATCAATTCCTATTTGAATTAACTCAAGAAACAATCTCTTTCTTTTTCTAGCAGTGTTCTGGAGAAGGAACAGAGACAGCGGCAGTGCCAGAGGGTCGGATGATGACGCAGTCGGAGGCTGGAACATGACTTGGCCCCGGTCGGCTGTCTGTTTTTATTCCTCCTTCTGCCCCTCATCTTGGCCGTGTCCAATGCCATCTTCCTCCACGTCTCCTCGCTTTGCTTTTTCTTTCCTTTTTTTTGCGAAATTATCCGTGGTGTTATTATGCATTATGAGGCCTAATGCGCACAGTTCCTGTGTGTCTTCGAGGATCGGAAGACAAGCAGGGGAGGGAGCGGCCTGAGGCGAGAATCGGAGGGTCGGAAAGAAAAACAAAAAAAAAAAAGGGGACAAAATCGTTGTACTATTTGCCAACAAAAGCGTTAATAGATCAAGGCGGAAAAACTGATGGGAACAGCAGTGTGGAAAGTCATTCAAGAATTTTCCCGCAGACAATCTTGAAAAGAAATCAAGCCAAGGAAAAACGGCAAAGACAAGGCGACAACTCAATTGAGGCGTTACACTCACAGAAAAGCTAAAGGTATTTTAAGGGAAATAAACGTAAAACTAGTAGAGTAGAAGAAGTGGTAATCAGTGGTAAATCATAAATGATGTCTTAAAATATAATAATTCTAAAGCTAAAGCATTTAAAATGTGATCAATATTTCGAAACTAATAATTGTAGAACATAAAATTTAAATAAAATATTATATACAGAGAAAGTAGCCATAAAGAAAGATAGATCCAAAGATATGTTCTTTTTCTGCGTGTAAATAGTGTTAGGATCAAGATACAAACTGAATATTGAACGCACGTTTTGTTCCCCCATTGTTCGCCCCTCCTACTCCATCTTTATCGCATCCTCCTTCTCCCCTTCTTCATGGTCGCCGCTCCTCGCTTTTTTCTTCTTTCGCTTCTTTTGTTTTTTTTTGCTGTATTTTCATGAAATATTGCCCAAGGGGCGGTTCAATTTTGATGCATTTACAAGGTTCGGGGTGTTGGTAATTATAGGGACTTTATGTCTGGAAGTTTCCTTTATGATAGGGTTTTTACTTTCAAGTTCCTTTCATATACCGTTCGCGCTGTTGTTGCACTCGCCTTTGATTGCTGAATTAAGTCGGTCGAGTGGATATTTTTATAGTTTTTCCTTTTTTTGTCTTCTTATTTTTATTTACTCTTTTTTTTCGTATCTTTGCCCCGGGAAACGCCCCCCTTCAGGGGTAAATCGGAAAGGTGCGGCAAAGGTCGGACATGGATTGAGATTGGAAGACGGACCCTAAGCTCTTATGTACATAGGTCATGTTTTGTTTCAGTGTAGAAATTAATAACTAATATAACGGATAGGATATCTATATCTGTTTTGTTTCGTTAGCTTTGATACAATAATTATATTAGAATCGAAACTATTGCATTTAATGATAAACTGTCGATACATTGTATTTCATTTATTTGTCTCTTTTTACGATAATTGATTATTTAGGGAATACTGATTTGTTACAAGTAAACAATACGACTTTTAGTTAACAAAAGTATTTACGTTAATTTACTGAATTAATTGAAGATGTTTCATAAGAAAAGTATGAAAGTTTGTTATGAAAAAGAGTACGTAATTGTTCTTGAAAAATACTTGCTCAACGCGTCAAGTTTTTAAAGAAAATAATGTACATGGATAGGACTTAAAAAATGGTCAGTGATATTTCAAGACCTACTTAACTCAGTATTTATAGTAATCTGTGATTACTCTCAACTAGTTTTGTTTTAACGTACGTAATGGTAAGAGAAATGAGTTGGAATATACATACATATTATATTTGATGGATTTCATTGGCTTTCCTAAATATTTCCACTTTTTAAAGCGTCGAAAATGTCGTCTTGCGGCATGACTACAGCCAAATTTTCACGTTTGGAAAATAGCATTTTTATCGGTACTGCATCATCCTCGCTCTCAAAGTCCGAATCATTGGGAAAATAGTCGAACTTTCGAACCCTACGCCTTTTGGAAGAGTTCGCAGGGCTGTTAACGACGGCGACAGTGGGCTTGACTTCCTGCGACCTCTTTGAGGACTTCTTGGACTCTGGCAAGTTGGCTATTGTTGAGGCAACTATCGGCTGCTCGATGGTATTGCAAATTGTGCTCATTTTGTTCTTCAGCTGATTTATGATGCCCTGTTACAGATATTATAAGCTAGAAAAGTTAATCTGAACGGTGGAAATACTTCAACTTACATTCTTCTCGTGTTCGAGACCAATTAGTTTAATTTCCTTCTGCTTTAGTTCCTCTTGCAAGCCGAATATCTTACTCTACAAATATGGTTGTAGAATTTATTAATTAATTATTGTATTGCCAAAAAAATTGTAATACCTTTAGGTTATTTGTTTGGCTCTTCACTTCTTCCTCGAAGGTTTTCCTAGCTTCAGATAACTCATTGTCCTTTTGCTCCTTCTCGTCCTTGAGGCTGGAATTGATCTTCCTGAGCTTATCTAGCTCAACCTCAAGACTTTCGATCTTATCTTGCTCAGCACAAGATGCCTTGTCCCTATGTTCTAGTGCAGTTTTCATGGCATTTATATCGTTTCGATAGCGCTCTCTTTCGACTTCTAATTCGGATTCAAGGATCTGAACCTTACGCGTTTCATTAATTACAATTTCCTTTTCAGCTTGCAAGGATTGAGATTGAACCTCCAGCTCGTTCTCAAAGCTTTTGATGATTTCCTGCAGCTCGGTGTTTTGAGCTTTGTAGTTTTCAAGCTCTCCGTTGTGTACGGAGCGCTGCTGGAGGCTTGCAGCTTCGAGCTGCTCGTGACTCTCTGCTAGCTTCTTGAGATCCTGTGACAGCTGGCTCTCAGTATACCTTAGGCTGGAAATTTCATTCTGTGCAAGAAAAAAGGTAATTACATTAGGTTGCTTTTGATTGGGAACAATAACTTGCTTCATATGCTTCCTTTTGGGCTTTCAGTTCCTTTGATTCTTTGGTGTACTCTTCGTTAGCCTCAATTAGAGAGATCTGAGTATCTTCTAGCAATTTTATGCGCCCATTGAGGGAGCTCTGGATTTTGCCTTTTCATTTCGGCTGCATTCAAGCTGATTTGTGATTTTGTCATTCTGCAACTGCAGCTCTTCGAAGTCTACTTGACGTTGGTTAAGCTTATTGACCTCCTGCGCCTTTTCCTTTAATTCGGACTCTAGCTGAGCACTTCGACGCTGTTAACAAATGAAAATACAGTTAGCGAATAGTACAAATAGAACGGATAGAGTATTACGAGTGGGTCTGCAATAGATTCACAACAAATTCAGTAGATTCTTACATAAAATTCTATTTAAAATGAGTAGAGATAGAGAAATAGAGATACCTCCAAAACTTCCCGTTCAGCAACTGTATCTTGCATTTTACGCTTTTGCTCGTCCAACTCTGCCGCTTGCTTATTATTTTGATTCAAAAGGTTTGCGACAGTCTCTTCAGTATGCTTCAATTTTACCTGGATGTCGTTCAGAACACTTGTCATGCCGAGATTAGCCTCTTGGATGTTGTTAAGCTACATTATAAAACAAAATATTAATAGGAGCCCGTTTCTATGATAAAAAATATCCGGAAATGTTTACCTCAGCCCTGAGAGTGTCGATTTCCGATTGCTTTTTGTCAAGCTCTTCCTTTTGCTGGTCAATAAGTGAATTGGCCAATTGAAGTTGGTTTTTGCCGTTCTTCTCAACGGTTGTACGCGCCTTTAGAGCGTCTAGATACTTCTCGTGAACCTCTGCGTTCAGCTTAGCTTGCTGATCCAGCTTGTTCTCCAGATTCTTCTTCTTGTCTATCATAATATTAAGCCTGGAATATACAAAATAATGTTTACTAAAGATCGAGAAAGTACCATGGCATGTTAATCTTACCGACTATTCAGTGACATGTTTTCATAGTGTTTTTCGGTATTACTGACTTCCAATTTGAGCAAACGCTGGGCAATTTTCCTATTGCAAGCCCTGTAGTCCTCGTAAAACTTATGGAACTGTTCGAGGTAATATTTATCGTTGCCCGTAGCTGTGAGCATTCCTTTGGCGGAGCTCTCCATTGATTCACAGGATGCTAATTCAATGTCTGCCACAGAGCTAGCTGGCTTGGGAGCTGTACCCTGGCCATGTCCTGTGCCACCCTTGACGTCTGCAGTATTCTCGTTTCTCTTAGCATTTTCCTTTCCTTGACTTAGTTTAAGGTCCGATTTTTTAAGAGATTTCCCTTCCAATTGTTTGGAACCCGCAACCACCACAGGTAGCTTTGGCTGGGAATTATCAAAACGCGGAGGCATAATCTTCACCTTCTTGTTGTAAGCCTCGAAAAAAGTCGATGACAACGGAGTCCCACTTCTTTTTTGAGCCTTCGTGGCGACCACAGGAACCGCGGTCGGAATATTTGCTTCTGCATCTCCCCTCTCCCTCGATCGACGAGTTTGGCCGACTTCCAGTTGGTTGGCTTCACTCTTATTGGAAGGCGTCACTGGAAGTTTTGCGACTGCGGCTGCCCTTGCCAGCAAACGATCGCAACTGTCCGCCATCTTGGAAGCCTCGACTGGTGGCTTCTTAATTTCGCTAATTGCTCTAATTTTTCGAGTATCCACAACGGATGGTGGCTTTTCTTGGGACAACGCAGGGGCGGGACTCCGAGATGGACTGCGCGAAACAATTTCCACAGAGTTTTTCTGACTTTTCTGGCTTTTACGCGGCATGGCGGCCGACTACCCGTTTTTCGTTAATACAGGGAAAAAACTGGGGTTGTGCAATGTTTAAATGGTTGTAAATGTAATAGGGTATATGGTGCTTGTTAAGACAACAATTAAATGCTATGCGGAATATACTTACATGAGTTTTTCCAAGTATTACGTTTTAACACAAATTCTTTGCAATTTTCGCGCGAAAGCAACGGTAAATTCTTTTTCACTGCAGTGTGACCGCTCGGCTGTCGTTTTAAAATACCATCTGGTATACAAATTTAATTTCTACAAATAGCATAGTATAACAGTTTATAAGTGTTCTCAGCGTATATTTACCAAAGTTTTCCACCTTTGTAACACTTAATTACAGAGTAAAAAGCGTCTTTTCATATTATACCTTTACTGGGTATTATAATTTGAATCAGAAGTTTGCAACGCACTGAAGGAGGCACCTCCGACCAAATAAAGTATATATATATTCTTGATTAGGATCAACAGCCGAGTCGATCTAGCCATGTCCGTCTGTCCTTCTGACCTTCTCTCCGCCTGTCCGTTTCTACGCAAACATATATGTCGGAACGGGCCGGATCGGACGACTATATCATATAGCTGCCATAGGAATGATCGGAAAATTTCTACAAAAAAATTATAACATTTTCAGTTTTTAACAGAATTTAATCAAATTTGAGATATAGCCATTTTATATTATTCTAAAATTTTGTGTAAAATTTAATGAAAATCGGACTACTATAAATTGATAAAATTACATATTACAACTGTTTTAGTTTTCAACAGATTTTTATCTAATTTGAGATATAGCTATTTCATATTATTCTACAATTTCGTGTAAAATTATTTTATTATTGGACTACTATATCATATAGCTCCTATAGGAACGATCGAGAAATTACAATTAAATATTATAACTTTTTTGTAGTTTTCAACAGATATTTATCAAATTTGAGATATATCCATTTTTATATTAGTCTTAAATTTTGTGTTAATTTTTATGAAAATCGGACGATTATATCATATAGGTGCCATACAAATCGTTAGATGTAGAGGAAAAATGCAAATCTGTGAATGTAAAACTTTTAATATAACATGTATAGGTGAATGAAATGAAAGCAGGTATTACTTCAGTGTTTTTTAACATAAATATATATAATTTATATTATATGGATTCCTAGTCATTGAAGCTCTATATGCAAGGGTATATAAACTTCGGCGTGCCGAAGTTAGCTTCCTTTCTTGTTTTCATATCACTTCTTTGACATTTTTACGTGTCAAAAATAAAGCTATCGATTAAATCACACAGCATGGTCACGTCTCCGCTGGAATCAAGTGTGACCAGCTGGCACGGCTGTAAAGATCCCCTCTCTTCCAGTCCGTGCTCGAGCAGGCGTTTTTGGCATAAAATCTGTCAGGTCACGCTGGATCACAACTAAGCACACGAGTGCGATTATCAACCCAAAGCGAATTTTTGCAATTGCAGCGATTGTATTCAAGGTAAAGTCGCAATAGACAAACAAAAAGAAAACAATAACAACAAGAAATAAAGAAGGTGGATGTTGAGCGTGCCGTGTGCGTCACAGACGCAGTCTGTCTGCATGCTGCCCGTATGCGTGAGCGTGTGTGTGTGCTGCGACATTCTCGCACTGCGTGTGTGTGCGAGTGTGGGAATTGGGTTGAGTGCCTCTGAATTCCCCGAATCCTTGCGCTTCCCAGAAGCCTCCTAGCGCAATATGCCAGGTTCGTGGGAATCATAACACAAGACGGTCCGAAAGGGGGCTGCATTGGCGGGCAACGCCGACGCTGGCGCTGCTGCGACGCACCGACAAAGCAACGAAGCCAGAAACTTAACCTCAAAGGCGAACGAACGAACGGAACAAACGAACGAACGAAGGAACGTGCGACGAAAGACAACAAAGCAAACAAAGCGACTAATGCCAGTCGCACCGAACCCAAATCGAGACCGTGACCAGTACCAGTACCTGTGCCAGGATCGCAACTGTCCAGCGATGAGTCGACTGCCCGGCACTTCGATGACTTCCCGCCTGATCGAATTCTTTGAAAGCAAGGATCCTATTCCTCGAAATGTGTACTCAAGGCCTCATTAATTCAGCATCTTATCTCTGTCTCTCCCCCACAGACCGCGCGTACAAGCAGGCCACGGCCAATCAGGTGTACGAGATGGTAAAGAAGCGGCAGACAGATGCCCACGATCAGGCCAGTTCAACGGATTCCGGCGAGGAGGATCTGCAGCATCATCGCAGCGGCACGGCATCCGGCACGGTCATGGACGGTGCCACGCCCACAGCGAGCAGCTGCCAACACATCAAGAAGGCGGTGGATGCCGCACGACTGCGGCGTCAGCTCAGGTCCACCGGCCTTTTGTACGAGTGCTCGCAGTGCCAGAAGCTATGCCAGGCCAAGACGGCTGCCACAGGGACAGAATCAGCAACATCAGCATCTGGATCAGCGGGAGGCGGGGAGCCGGGCGACTATGAGTTTGACAGCACGCTCTGGCTGTGCTTGAAGTGCGGCATCCAGCTGTGCGGGCGGGCCCGAAAGAAGCATGCCCTAGAGCACTACCAGGTGGGTCTCCAACTTCTCCTCTTTCTCCTGTTTTCCTTCAAATGACTCTCCTAATCGTTCCCTACAGACACCACATTCGGACTCGCACGCTCTGGCGATGAACACGCGCTCTTTTGACATCTGGTGCTACGAGTGCAACATGAAAATCGGCTCCAATATGCGCAAGAATCTACTTGAGTGCGTGGAGCTCGTCAAGCGGCTGGCCCAGAAGCCGCCCACTACGACAACCGCGACGCCCAGTCCGCCCACCATTAGCTACATCGAGCAAAAGTTCAAGTCCACGCTGGAGCATCTAACGCCCATGGTGCCCATGACGGGCGGTGGGTCGTTCGAGGACACAGCAGCAGCCAGCAAAGTCAGCCAGGAGGCCATACCACTGCCACCACCGGTGTCGTCAACGTCCGGTTCGCTGACCCTGGTCCCCGGCATGGCCAAGAGGATTGAACAGGGCAAAGATAATGCCAATGTTCCGCGCCCAACTTTTTACGAGCTGGATCGACTGTCCAGAGTGCGGGGACTGACCAACCTGGGCAACACTTGCTTCTTTAATGCGGTGATGCAGTGCCTGGCCCAGACGCCCTTCCTGCTGTCCGATCTCAGGGACCTGGCCGAGCCAGGAGAAGAGTAAGTTTAGCAATTTCCTTTACTAAAGTCTGAATAGGCCCCCGTCTGGCATTTAAGTGTATATCCACTTTGGAAATTAACCTTTCATGGTTGCTGTTCTTCAATTAATTAATATTATTATTTCTCTTACAGATTCACTTTGCCTGGCGGCACCTTCAACTTTAAGGACAAGGGTGACATCACACTGCCCAAGATCGAGGGCAAACTCTCCTCTTGGGGGCCCCTTACCGCCGCTCTGGCACACGCTCTCGAGGAGCTGCAGGCCGGCGGTAGCGTCTTTACGCCCAGCAAACTCTTCGACAGGCTGTGCACCAAGTGCCCCCAGTTCACCGGCGGCGACCAGCACGATGCCCACGAGCTGCTCCGCCAGCTGCTAGAGAGTGTGCGCAATGAGGATCTGAAGCGCTATCAGCGCGTCATCCTGCAGAACCTCGGATACAAGGACCAGGACATTAACAGTGTGTCGGAGGAGTTGCGGCAAAAGTGCAAGATCTATGGCAATCAGGCTGGTGATCGCATCCTGCGCCCGGAGCAGGTCTTCCGTGGCTTCCTCGTGTCCACGCTTACCTGCCAGGACTGCCACAGTGTGTCGTCGCGACACGAATACTTCCTGGACATGTCGCTGCCTGTTGCCGTGGAGAAGCCGCAGCCGCCGCAGCGTCGCAAACCGAGCCCCGAGCTCTCGATACCGACCAGCGGCAGCCCCACTAATACCACTGCTACCAATACCATGACCCCAATCGGCGGTCAGACGGTCATCAACACCAAGTTCTCGGATGGCAATGTGAACTTTACTGCTTCGTCCTCCTTCTACCTCCATGGCGATCAGCCGGAGCAGCAGCTCGGTCCCTCCAAGTCGCAGGTGAAGAAGGAGAAGGAGCGGGAGCGCAAGGCCAAGCGGGCGGCCAAGCATCAGCGCACCAAGCAGGCCCAGAAGCTCAGCCTCAAGCTGAACGGCAATGGGCTGGGCTCTGGCGACGGACAGGCGGAGGAACAGCCCAAGGATCAGGCTGAACACAGCACCTCGTCCACCTCGACCACCTCGGAGCATTCGGATGCCGATGTTGAGGACAATCTGGTGGAGGATACGGCACCGGGAGGAGCGGCTGCTGGTGGCGCTTCGGGAGCGGCAGCCAAGTTTTATACGGACAGCAATGGCAACGCCCAGCCGCTGGGTGAGAAGCGCGACGATACGCCCGAGAACATGGACAAGGATTCGCTGGAGGAGGATGAGAATGGTGAGTGACCTAGGTCTAAATTGGGTTTAGTCCAGATGTAGAGAAGCTGTGCAAACTCTTAATGCCTCTTGCTTGCAGACTCTGGCATAGCCACCAGTCCCGCACCAACTGCCTCCAGCAGCAGCACCAGCACCAACGTGACCAGCAGCAGCTCGAGCACCGTACCGACTGGCAACAACTCCTCCTCGTCCGCCTCCGTGGCTGGAACACTCGACGAAGCAGAGGCGGAGGGCGACCCTAAGGTCACAGCGCCAGCTAGCCTGGTCAGTGCCGGGCTGTCGGAGAAGGGAGCCTCCCTCATACGCCAGCTATCCATTGGGGCCGAGCAGGGCGGACTAAATGGCCTGGCAGCGGGAGGAGCAGAAGGAGCAGAGAACGAGGCTCAGCTGGAGAAGGTAAAGCTAGCGCCGCCAAGCCAAGCTCCGACGCCAGCCCAAGCCCTGGCCAAGGCCCAGGCCCGCCCGAAGCGTGTGCGCACGCAGAGCTACTCGGATTGGAGCACCACGATAGCCCCGCGCTACCAGTGCGAGGACGGTGAATGCTCCGTCCAGTCCTGCCTGAACAACTTCACCGCCGTGGAACTAATGACCGGCCAGAACAAGGTGGGCTGCGACAGCTGCACGCTGCGCATCAATGGAAGCGACCCGAAGGCCAAATCTGTGAATACGAATGCCACCAAGCAGCTGCTGGTCTCCAGTCCGCCGGCAGTCCTCATCCTCCATCTGAAGCGCTTCCAGCTGGGACCGCGCTGCGTCTTCCGCAAGCTAACGCGACCGGTTAGCTATCCCAATTTACTGGACATTGCCGCCTTCTGCGGCTCCAAGGTGAAGAATCTTCCCAATATCGATCGCAAGCAGAAGAAGCTCCTGTACGCTCTCTACGGCGTCGTGGAGCATTCGGGCGGCATGTACGGTGGTCACTACACGGCATACGTGAAGGTGAGGCCCAAGGTGACGCCGGGCGACAAGCGTTACAAGTTCCTGCCGATGGGCAGCAAGGCGGAACTGGATCAGGACGATGAGCAGCTGAAGAAGCTGGAGGAGCTGCAGGCCAAGCGGAAGGCGCGCGATTTGCATATGCAGGCGATGGACGACAGCGATGACTTCTCTAGCAGCAACTCATCCACCTCCGATGACGGCGGCAATGCGCCGCAGGAGGAAACGCCGCAGGAGGAGGAGGCCGCCCATGTGCAGGCGCCGCCGGGTAAATGGTATTACGTGTCCGACTCTCGCGTCCAGGAGGTCAGCGAGGACTCGGCGCTGAAGGCGCAGGCCTATCTGCTGTTCTACGAGCGCATCTACTAGGTGGGGTCAAGCAAGACTAGGACACACCCATTACTCTTTTTCACTGATTTCACTTATTTTTTACATTTATTCTCCATCCTTTTTCGTGCATTTACCAGGAGGTAGAGAAGGGGGACATTTACGCCCAGCAGATGACAAACTAAGTTAGGAACCAAGGAACACATTTACTAGGGGGACGCAGAGATCTCCAGCTCAGGATTGAGGGAGAACGAGACGGCAGAGAGAGCGAGAGAGATAGAAAGAGAGTAGGGGATACACTGCACTTGGCCCACATTTATTTCTGTTCCCTCTCCCTCTCTGGGACAGGAAATACTTTTTCGTTAAATTTTTTCTTGTTTATTAATTAGTTATTCATTTTTTTTATTACTTATTAGGGGAAAAGACAGTTGAAGGAAGCAAATTACAATGTTTATTAGTTCTAGTTAGACGGAAACGTTTTACGTTTAGTTCTTGCAAGCTATTTGCTTCGAGCAGGGACAGCAGAAAGACCAGAAAAACGCCGAACGCGACAAAACGGAAACAAACGGAAGTAAAGGAGAGAAACAAAGGAGAAAACGAAACAATTTGCTGATGAATAAGTTCATAAGTTATACACACAAGCAGGAAACACGGATGAATTAAAACCACAACCAATTGCTCGCTTCTGCCAATAAATTTAACTTTGCTGTAATCTTAACTTATATACTATATACTATATATATATATACACACACTATATAATGGGTCTATATACTAGGTACCAAGGCCAAGAAGGCCAAGAGAGTGTTTCGAAGGCCACGAGAGATTTATACCTTAACGAAGCATATATGAATATATATATATACACGAAACAGTTAATCTTATGAACTAGGTTTAACTAACGATTTAAAATTTAAATTAAGGAGACATTTCACGAGGAAACCCAAAAGATTCTAACACAAGTCCAGAAATGTGAGCAGCTAATGCCAATTAATGTCCATTCATACATTTTCCTACGTTTCTTTTTGTTAACTACAAAGCTGTTTTTTTTATATAATTCAAAAGTAAACCACCCTAAAAACCATGTAAAAAAAACAACAGAACTATATACAAAGCAAACTTACAACTCCAATGTAAAAAAAAGAACAGAACCTATATGCAAAGCAAACATACAACTCCAACTTTTGTAAAAATCAGCAAGGAAAAGAAATAAATAATAAACGAAAAACCCGACTAATAAGACATAAAGACATTAACAATTTTCGCTTTTAAACTGAACACATAGTTGTGATAATTAAACTATTTAAGGAAGTCATTAAAGGATTAACAAATAAACTGTGCATCGTCAGAGCTCTTTTCTGGGTGAAAATGAATAGGGAAATATGCAGTTAATGGATTTAATTATAATTATAATTAATATGCACGATTGAGAGCCGGTTTTCTAGACTTGAGGGAAATGAAATGAAATCAACGCCTTATCGACGATCTGCCCTCTCCATCTGATCCCATTCCCCGGAATGGGCCAGGTGCCGGCCAAGGTCGAGACGCAAAAGCTCCGCCACAGCCATCGCTCTCCCGCTCGAACCTCTGGCCAGTTGCACGATGGGAGCTGCTCTGTTCGGATCGTGGCTGGGATTGGGCTTGGGCCTGCTCCTGCTGGCCAGCGACTCCGGCCTGGTTTCGGCCAAGCGCTATCTGCGCTGCGAGCTGGCACGCAAGCTGCTCGATCCACCTTACAGATTCGATCGATCGCTGCTCTCCAATTGTGAGTTTTTGCCTACTTCTGAATTCAATATTATATTATATACTTAATGCTCGTAATCAATTCCAACCTAGGGATCTGCCTGCTGGAACACGAAAGCGATTTGGACTCCAACAGGATCACCTCGAATCCGAATGGCTCCCGGAACTATGGTTTGTTCCAGATCAACAGCCGATTCTGCCAGGAGGGCAGGCGTGGCGGCATCTGTAATGTCAAGTGCGAGGGTAGGAAACGCGGATTATGTTCGGAATTATATATTATAGCACTGAGTGTACATATCTCCATATTCCAGATCTCCTCGACGAGAATCTAATGGAAGCCTCGGCCTGCGCCAAGCGAATTCACACCTCCGATGGCTTCCAGCATTGGAATGGATGGCAGCGTTATTGTCGCAATACCCAGAATCTGCCGAATCTAAGGGTTATCTGTGGGATCTAAAATATCAATTACATATTTACTGTATTAAGTGTATATAATTTTAGGTGCTTTTACTGACTGTAAATTAACACCTTGGTGATCAGCTTCGTAGTAAATTCCTTTTTTATTTTGCAATAATTATTTGATATTTATACATCAATCATTAATTATATGCTAGAATTAGTGCGGCTTAGTTATGAGTTTTTTAATTTTTGATTATTTTGAATTTTTATATAAAAATTATTGATAAATATCGATCAAAAAATGGTATTATAATTTTAGTCAGAAGCTTGTAACTCATGAAGGAGTCATTTCCGACCCTACAAATCATATATATTCTTGATCAGCATTAACAGGCGAATCTATCTAGGCATATAATACAGAAACATATTTTTGGCCATTTTTTAAAATTTTTTAAGGGGTTACATCGTTAAAAATTTCAAAACTTGATAAAAATTTAAATTTTTTACATTTCAAACTGAGTATGCAGATTTGTTAACGCAATTTAAACTAGCATGACACCGTTTTCCGAATTAAAATTAATGCTTTTTTGACTTAGTTATGAGTTTTTTAATTTTGATTTATTTAAATCTTTAAATAAAAAAGTATTAATATTTATCGATTAAAAAATGGTATTATAATTTTAGTCAGAAGCTTGTAACTCATGAAGGAGTCATTTCCGAACCTATAAATCGTATATATTCTTGATCAGCATCAACAGGCGAATCTATCTAGGCATATACTACAGAAACATATTTTTGGCCATTTTTTTTAAATTTTTTAAGGGGTTACATCGTTAAAAATTTCAAAACTTGATAAAAATTTAAATTTTTTTACATTTTAAACTGAGTATGCAGATTTGTTAACGCAATTTAAACTAGCATGACACCGTTTTCCGAATTAAAATTAATGCTTTTTTGACTTAGTTATGAGTTTTTTAAGTTTTGATTTTTTAAAATTTGTATATATAAATTATTGATAAATATCGATCAAAAAATGGTATTATAATTTTAGTCAGAAGCTTGTAACTCATGAAGGAGTCATTTCCGACCTTATAAATCATATATATTCTTGATCAGCATCAACAGGCGAATCAATCTAGGCATATAATAACAAAACAAATTTTTTGCCATTTTTTTAATTTTTAAGGGGTTACATCGTTAAAAATGTGAAAACTTGATAAAAATGTTAATTTTTTTACATTTTAAACTGAGTATGCAGATTTGTTAACGCAACTTAAACTTGCATGACACCGCTTTCCGAATTAAAATTAACGCTTTTTTGACTTAGTTATGAGTTTTTAAGTTTTGATTTTTTAAAATTTGTATATATAAATTATTGATAAATATCGATCAAAAAATGGTATTGTAACTCATGAAGGAGTCATTTTTAAATTTTTAAGGGGTTACATCGTTAAAAATGTCAAAACTTGATAAAATTTTATTTTTTACATTTTAAACTGAGTATGCAGATTTGTTAACGCAATTTAAACTAGCATGACACCGTTTTCCGAATTAAAATTAATGCTTTTTGACTTAGTTATGAGTTTTTTAATTTTGATTTTTTCTAATTTGTATATAAAAATTATTGATAAATATCGATCAAAAAATGGTATTATAATTTCAGTCAGAAGCTTGTAACTCATGAAGGAGTCTTTTCCGACCCTATAAATCATATATATTCTTGATCAGCATCAACAGGCGTATCTTTCTAGGCATATAATAAAGAAACTTCTTTTTGAAATTTTTGTTTTGAGTTGTCGACCTTTTAAGGTCTGACCAAAGCCCTCGATCCCCTAGAAGCTTTACACTTGAGTAGTTCTCTTGACTCTGAGGGTTCCCGAGAGGTCTCTTTATCACAAAGTGGGGAGCGCAAGCTCTGTTCCCGCTCCCCAAAGTTTCAGCTTGGAGCTTTTTCGACCAGGTTGAGTAACTTTATGAAATAATGCTCCCAGCCCCAGAGCTTACGTGGCTACACGGCGGAGATTTCATTTGGCGACATCGGCCGAACGATTCGGACCGTTTGTCGGCCGAAAAAAGTTTTCGTTCAATTTGGCAACGTGTTCAAAATTAAAATATATATATACATATATATTTAAAAAAATATTTAGCCAGTTAAAACTGAAGAAAAGTCCAGCCAACGATTAAAAATAGAACAGTCAAAAGTCCAGTGCCCAGTGCCGTAGAGATACACTCTCTCCATATAGCAATATATATCCAAAGATATACGAGGCATACTCCATGCCAAGCTGCCATTACATAAATGCAGTTATCTACATGTGATATTGTGTTTGATCCCCTGAGACCCCTGAAAAATATTATATACCACCAAATACCCAGTATTATAAACCCCTGATAACCCCTGCCCCCGAAACCCGAACCCGAACCCAAGATTGCTCCTGGTCTCATGTTTTTACAGATCAGTCGTTGAGCTGTTAAGTGTTAAAGTTGAAGCCAAAATAAAATCTCAAGTGTATGCTTATTTTTGTTTTCGTGTTCAAGTCCCCAGGATCTGAATGTAAAATACCTGATATTTATAAAATAGTGATTCCCAATGAGAGATTTTCAAGAAAATCCTGACCAAATTACACCCTGATATTCTAACTTAGAAATATATTTACAAAAATATACGAAATATATTCAAAAAATATTTAAAATATATACAAAATATATGTGAATAAAAAATATATTTAAAATATAATAACGAAATATATTTTATATTGTGTTGGGTGGTAAAAATAAAAAAGATCTTTTATAAAGATCTTGAAAGAGTTCTTTCAAGTGTATTATTACAGATATAAATATAACCATTTAAGGGAAATGTGATAAAAGTCTCTATAATTCCCAAAATATTATAAAATTTTATGTATATATAAAAGATTTATATTTTTTAATAAAAATAATAATTTGTGTGGCAAGCAAATCGCGAAATATTATTATGTATTTCGTAAAATTGTGAAATTAAAATGCACTGTAAAAAGTGCAGATGGTGGATATTAATTAATGCTTGTTTATAACAATTTAATATATATAATATAAAAATATTTCTGGAAGAAATAATAAGTCTCAAGTGATCTTAAATTATTAAATTTAAATTTATTATACATATATATATTGAATATATATCAAAGAGACTGTTGGTGAAATTTTCTTAAGAAAGTGATTTCTGATTTGCCTTTCTAATTAAAATATTACCCCAAACTCCTTGAGATTCCCTCAAAATAAACCCCTATTAAAATACATAAATAAAAAATAGATGTACAATATATGAATATACATATATTAAAAAAATATATATAAATATTTTTAGCAGATGAAGCGATCAATTGAGTGCATGAGGGATCTTCAAATTGAAGTTCCTGGAGCATTATATGGATCTCCATCTCCATTTGATATGAAAATGATGCATGAATGATGAAAATCCCTGACCTTTTCAGGTGGATTTTTCCCCCTGTTCTAGACCGTTCTTAATGTTTTTTTATACGCTTTGCATATTTTCCTAAACTTGCGAAATGCAACATTTATTTGGATCACCTTACACGTCGGCTGTTGTGGAACTATTTCATCACAAGGCGAAATAAATGCAAAAAATTCCCCACTGCCTGGTCTTTGGAGGCTTTGTTTTCGTCTTTTTCTGTGTTTTTTTGTTTAGTTTATTTTTTATTTCTGTATGAGTATAACTCGTATATCGAATACGACGCCAAATCCACGTAGCTGATAGTGAGAATTGCGAAAACAAAACCCATACTATCACAGCTCTTGCTCGTTTGTTGTGTTTAGCTGAACAAGAGAGAGATACAGCTACAGTGGAGCCTGCCTAAGGGGAAAAAGCAAATTAGAATAATATATATAATATATAATTCAAGAGTATCAACAATGAAAGCATTAACCTTTAGTATCGTTTACAAAAGAATCTTTATTTGTTTACATAACCACTTGTTTTTAAACCCCTGAAATACTAATCCTAATAACATGGGTGTGCTTACTTGTTTTTGTAATAAATATTTGAATTCTTTTAATTCTTAAATAATAAACTTTGATTAACAGAACTTTGAAAAATTAATGAATTTTAAATTTAAACTCCAAAAGTTGTATATATTATATAGAATAAAAGCCAGATTGTGCTGGTTTAGATCTTTAAACATATATATTTTTTGAAGCCAAATCTAAATTGATTTATAGAATGTGCAACAATTGCTTTTAAAGAGAATTGGTTTAATTAAATAACCAAATAGAAATGTGACATTCTTGTTTTTGTAATAATTATTTGAATTCTTTTATTTCTTAAATAATAAACTTTGATTAACAGAACTTTGAATAATGAATGAAATTTAAATTTAAACTCCAAAAGTTGTATATATTGTATAGAATAAAAGCCAGATTTTGCAGGTTTAGATCTTTAAACATATATATTTTTTAATCCAAATCTAATTTGATTTATAGAATGTGCATCAATTGCTTTTAGAGAGAATTAGTTTAATTAAATAACCAAATAGAAATGTGACATTCTTACAAGTACAGTGATGAAATTCCATATAGTTTTCCCGCACAAAACAAGCTCCACTGTACTCCTATCGCTCTCCCTTTGTCTGCGACGCATATTTCGCACAGTTCCGAGTGTTCCCACACACCCATCCCCATCCAGCCCCCTTGAGAGTGCCGCACTACGCCCCTGCCCCAGCGAGTTAACGTTCTGCCGGCGCCAGACGCCGACGTGGTCGTGGGTCCGCGGAGCGTATAAAAGTTGCCGGCCGGCAAGCGTTTGTCATCAGTTTGCCAGCTTGCAGCTTTGTGGAAACCAAACCAACAAGCTCTCAGCGAAATCGACAGGAAAAACTATTCCAAGGCAAACAAAGAAAATTGTATTCATTACGCCATTGCGGGAAATTCAGTCCAAAGAGAATCCTTAGACATGAGCGAGGTGACCAGAGACCTGCGACAGCAGCAGGAGCAGCAGGATCCCGTCGAGCTGCTCGACTGCGACATCGACTTCGAGGACGCTCCGTCTCCAGTGGCTGTCCCGGAGGCAGCCAAGAACCCGGCCAGTTCGACCCGGCTCTTCAACAAGGCCATCAGGAAGGTGTCCAAGGTGCAGCGCATGCTGGAGCAGGCACGCATCCTGCTGGCCGAGGAGCAAGAGCAAGAGCAGTCCACCTCTAAGAAGGCCCAGAAGCAGCTGAAGAAGCAGGCCAAGAAGGCCAAGAAGCAGCAGAAGAAGCAGGCCAAGAGGGCCAAGAAGCAGGCCAAAAAGGGCGCCGAGGGAGAGCTTCTAGCGGAGGAGCCAGAGCTCCCTCAACGTTCCCGTTCGAACAGCGTCAGCTCCACCTCGAGCTCATCCAGCTCCAGCTCCAGTTCTAGCTCCAGCTCCAGCTCCAGCTCGAGCTCTACTTCTGGCGAAGATCAGGAGGTGAACTTCTATGGCTACGGCTGGGGTCGCAATCCCTGGCGCCGGGGACCTCATGGTCATCATCATGGTCGTCGTCACAGCATTGGCCATAAGCATGGAAAGCACGGTCATCATGGAAGGAGACATGGGCATGGACATGGTCACAAGCATGGTCATGGTCATGGTCACGGTCATGGTCACGGTCATGGTCATGGCCACGGTCACCGTCGCCATCACTTGGGACCCCATCACTTTGGACCCCACCACTTTGGTCCCCATCACTTTGGACCCCACCACTTTGGTCCCCATCACTTTGGACCCCATCACTTTGGACCCCATCACTTTGGTCCCCATCCTTGGGGACCTTGGCAGGATCAGTGTCAGTTTTTTCGGTCGATGGGCCTGCCGTGGGCCCGAGAACCAATCACGGACTGCCGCTGCAGGAGGAGCCGATCTCTGTCTAGATCCGCCCACGCAAATCGTCGAGATTTTGGACACGGACACGGATTCGGACACGGATACGGATACGGATACGGACACGGACATGGCCACCAGGGTCGATCACATGACCGTCGAGTAGAGCGCTCCAGCTCCAGCTCCAGTTCCACTTCGGAGAGCGACCAGGAGCTCAGGAAACGGAAGAAGAATAAGAAGCATGGCGACAAGTCTAGGTCCAGGTCGAGCTCCAGTTCCAGCTCCAGTTCGAGTTCCAGCTCCGACGAGGAGCGTAAGACCAAGAAGCAGAGGAAGAAGAAGGGCAGCAGCTCCTCCTCGTCGAGCTCATCAAGTTCCAGTTCGGACAGCGAAGAAAAGGTGGAGAAGAGGCACAAACGCCGTCATGACAGGCCGCATCATGGCCCACATCATGGCCATCATTTTGGTCCTCATCATGGCCCACATCATGGCTCCCACCATGGCCCCCATCATGGCCCACATCATGGGCCACATCATGGGCCACATCATCATCAGGTTGCCTCTCTCCTTGCTAATCCACCGCATTCCATACCCGGTTTCTCTTGGACACATCGTGGACGCACTGAGCCTCTAGGGGTTCCTCCTTTACATCCGCCTGCTTTTGGCCCGGCAGCCTTTGGACCAGCGCCACCACCACCTTTTGGCCCGCCAGCCCCAGACCAGGATCGTCGTCGTCAAGGACGCTCTCTGTCCCGTTCCCATCAGGAGAGATCCCACTCCAGACCACGCTCTCGTTCCCACTCTCGATCGGAGGAAAGGCCGCAGAAACACTGCCAGAAAAAGGACAAAAAGTGCAAGGACAAGGGCAAGAAGCACAAGAAGCACCAGAAGCATGGACATGGCAAGCATTCAGCTTAGTCCCAATTCCGGGAAGCTTCTAAGATTTATCAATATTCCTTCAATACCCCAACTATATCATTTTCAAACTATATTCCTTCAACTATATCCTATATACTACAAAAAAATTGAAACGTATAACCAAAAGATCAATTTTTATATAGAAAAACAACAACATACACAGAAAATATATATATTTTAATAAAAATGAAATAAAAATATAAACTAAATGGCTTTCAATTAAAATTAAATTAAAATAAATATAAAGAAAAAAATGTATAAAGGAAAGTACAAACTATTAAAGCTTGTTTAGCAATTATTGTTGCTAGTCATTTCCAATTACAGCTTTTATTTTTTTGTTTTTTCGGCTAAAGGTTAATTCTATTTCACATACCAATTCCCTTTAAATTATTTTTCGGAGATTAGAAATCATTTGAATTACATTCTCTCTCCCATAATTATATTATTTAATTATATTTGACCGTTCGGGTGACTGAATGATTAAATTGCATTAATAATGCATCGGTTGTGATAAATATATTACCAACAAAGCGAAAACAGAGTGAAACAAGAAAGGAAGCTAACTTCGGCACGCCGAAGTTTATATACCCTTGCAGATAGAACTTCTATGAATAGGAATCCATACAATATAAATTATATATATTTGTGTTAAAAAACAATGAAGTAATACCTGCTTTCATTTCATTCACCTATACATATTATATTTGCAGTTTTACATTCACAGATTTGCATTTTTCCTCTACATCAAACGATCGTTTGTATGGCACCTATATGATATAGTCGTCCGATTTTTATGAAATTTGCCACAAAATTTAAGACTTATATAAAATGGCTATACCTCAAATTTGATGAAAATCAGCTGAAAACTAAAAAAGTTATAAATTTAATTGTATTAATTTCTCGATCGTTCCTATGGGAGCTATATGATATAGTAATCCGATTTTCATAAAATTTTACACAAAATTGTAGAATAATATGAAATGGCTATATCTCAAATTTGATCAAATTCTGTTGAAAACTAATAATTTTATAATTTTTTTTGTAAAACTTTTCCGATCATTCCTATGACAGCTATATGATATAGTCGTCCGATCCGGCCCGTTCCGACATATATACGAGTGAGAGTATATAGAAGACTAACTGCAAAGTTTCATTTAGATAGCTTCAAAACTGAGAGACTAGTTTGCGTAGAAACGGACAGACGGACAGACGGACAGACGGACAGACGGACAGACGGACAGACGGACAGACGGACAGACGGACAGACGGACATGGCTAGATCGTCTCGGCTGTTGATCCTGATCAAGAATATATATACTTTATATAGTCGGAGGTGCCTCCTTCACTGCGTTGCAAACTTCTGACTGAAATTATAATACCCTGCAAGGGTATAAAAAGCGGTCAAAAAAAGGGCAAAACAACAAAAGTTAATCCCACTTCCATGACGAAAACAATTTAAAATAAATATTAAATAATAATGCCATCAGGAGTGTTCCCGAATAGATAGTGCTGGTCTTACATGACATGACGAAGGGAAGCCCTCCTGATAAGAATTTTGGGGTATTCCTGGCCAGGTTTAACCCACACCCATGACGCGATAACTCGCGTCGATCGATAAGCCCAGGAAAAATGATAAACATTCTGTTTTCTGCACTCTGTTGTTTTTGTTTTTTTCTTTAGTTTTACCTGCTTAAATGTGTGTGTTTTTTTTTGTTTTGCATTGATACAGGTGAGCAGGTGAGGAAAACCCATTAAAAGGGCCAAAGGCAACCATCAATTAGCTGCTGGAACTAGGACAACCTGTCGATGTTATCGAAAGGATGGATGGTAGAATGGGAAGGAAGGATGGCAGGATTTCCCCTGGAAATTGCATAGAAGCGGGAACACTTACTGCCCAGCTGTTCTCATTTGTAGAGGGGAAATCACAGCTGTTCCCTGTCTTGGGCTTGGCTCGGTAGGAAAAGCCCCTTTAATTAAGGTTTATTAAAGAAGTCAATAGTATATTTTTAACAATTGCTTATATAGCATCTATGTATATCCGATTTTCATAAAATTTTACACAACATTTTCAATTAATATATAACGGCTATATATTAAATTTGATGAAAATCTGTTGAAAACTGAAAAAGTTATAATATTTTTTTCTTAAAATTTTCCTATTGTTCCTATGGCATATATATATGTATATATATAGTCCACCGATTCACCATGCCCCGACTTATATGCAAGTAAAATTATATAGAAGAATAACTCCATAGTTTCGTTCAAATAGCTTAAATATGTTCCAAGACAAACCTCGTACATCTGTGCTTATGATTCCCAACTCGTTCTAACATCCCCGGAACGAAGTGACTGCTGCCGGCCGAGTCTCAGAAATGTGTTGTGTTACAAAAGTTGCAAGTCATTGTTTATTAGTGTTCAAAGAAAGTAACTAATCATACATACATACTTAATGGTCATGGATACTTACTGATCATAGTTACTTACTAGTCATAGATACTTACTGATTATATTTACTTACTGGTCATAGATACTCACTGTTCAGAGTTACTTACTGCTCATAGTTAATTAATGTTAATAAATTCTTAGAGTTTCTTATTGATCATAGTTCTATAAATCGTCCGATTGTTCCTATGTCAGCTATATATATGTATATATATATAGTCCACCGATTCGCCATGCTCCGGACTATATACTAGTCAAGTTATATAGAAGATTAACTCCATAGATTCATTCAAATAGCTTAAATTTGTTCCAAAACAAATCTCGTACATAGGTGAATATAATTCTCAACTGGTTCAAACAGCCCCGGAACGAAGTGAGTGCTGCCGGCAGAGTCCCAGAAATGTGTTGTGTTACAAAAATTGCAAGTCATTGTTTATTAGTGTTCAAAGTAAGTAACTAATCATACATACATACTTAGTGGTCATGGATACTTACTGATCATAGATACTTACTGTTCAGAGTTACTTAATGTTCAGAGTTCCTAACTGCTCATAGTTAATTAATGATCATAATTATTTACTGATCATATACTTTATAGTTTATATGTTTGGAGATGACTTGCAAACTTCTGATTGATATTATAATTCCCTGCAAGGGTATAATTACGTAAATAAAGTAAATATTAAAGCAATAATTAAATTTCAGCTTTGTCTTTTTTTTAACTCAATACAATTATTATTTTCAAAGTAAACGATTTGTATTTAAGTTGTATTATTTTATGTTGATTATTTTAAAATACTTTTAAACGCATTTCTCTTTAGTTTTTTTTTTATAATCTTCTAAAATATTTTAAATAAATTAAAAATTAAATGAATACTAAAATGCCCGCTTTGTGTAGAGTGCACTGTTCACAGTTTTCTCCTGCTTGCATTTGGGCTTAAGAGAGTGCTTAAGAGTGCGCCCGAAATACTGGAAACAGTTCCAAGTGGTAACAGTTCGAGAGGTAACAGTTCCAAGTGGTAACAGTTCGAGAGGTAACAGTTCCAAGTGGTAACAGTTCGAGTGGTAACAGTTAAACTGAGACAGCAGCTGACTGAGAACTCATTTGAGTGAGAACAGTTCCTCGCTTTCCCTAATTAATGGACGGCAAATGGGAATTGCTTTTGTCTCTAGCCCGTCTGGCAGATTGCGTGGGAAGGAAAGGCAAGGAGAGGGAGGGGTTGGAAGGGTGCAAGGCAGGAAGGGTGGTGAATCCCCTGCCTCTGGAATAGAAAGGGAACTTAACACCCCCAAAGTGAAAGCCACTGACCGGTTAGTGGGTCTTTGTGGGTTAAGTGCTGTTTAATAATGAAAGGCAGCACAAACTAAGGCGGGAATAGTTAACTCTCCACTAACTTCCACCTTCTACTTTCCACCATCCGTCCCTTCATTAATTTTCGCATTTTTCGGAAGCATTTCCAGCTAGTTTCCCATTTACATTCCATTTTTTTGACCAGGAAGTTATCGATATTCTGGGGAAATCTCCACTAAAATTGGCGATTCTCACCTTTTACCTTTGCTACCGCCTACAATCAACAGGTGAACGCACAAAGACACACACACACCATCGAGCACACACACACACACACACACACGCATACACACTTCAAGCTGAGGGCGTAAATTTTCAAAGGAAAACTTTATTCAATTTTTGTGACATTGTGACAGGGACAGGGACAGGGAAAGGCGCAGGCAGCAACTTTCCCTTGTTGCCCTTTTTTTGTTTTTTTTTTGTGTGTGTATTTGTTTCTTTTCTTTTATTTATGTACGATGTACTTTTGCTGACATTTGGCAAAGTTGATTTGTTGCTAAAGCACTAGAAGAAATATTTAAGTATATATAAATAATAAATATATTTAAATGGGAATTCTAGGGTGTCAGGAAATTGGGTTTCTTAAATATCTAAATACCTAAAACTCAAATCAATTTACCAATTTCCTTTCTTTGCAAGGTATCTAAATAATTTGATTATAGTTTTCTTTGGATTTTTTTTCCCCAGTGCCGACTCCACCCCCCCTCTAAAGGACCTTGGCTCCCACCTTTATTTGTCATCTGCAGGTCCTTAACTCGACGCCAAACGGTGCTTTACTCTAACCGTAAAGCACAAAAGGAGATTTCTGTTTTTCAATTTCCTAAAAACAAAGAGCGGATAAACTGAAACAAAAGCCAGTACAGAAAAAAAAACATATACTATATATATTAAGAAAAAAGAGCAGAACAGCAAATGAAAAGTGAAAGTGTGTGGCATGAATAGAGGAAGTTGCCGGAAGTGGATTTTTGAGCGGAAATAATTTTGCCACATGTTGGCGAAATAAAGAGACACAAGCGGAGGGGCAGGGGCAGGGACAGGGGCAGGGGCAGGGGCAGGAAGACAAAAGCTAAAACAAAGTCACGCGCCAAAAAAAAAGAAAGCGGCGGACGAGGATGAGGACAAGGATGTGGCGCAAATCCTTCCGTTGTCGTCATTGTCGAAAGCTTAAAATTCAATATAAGCGTGCTCCATTTGCGACATTCACATTCACTTGCCCAAATACATATAGTATATAGTATATAGCTATAATATATATGTAAATATTTCCTTAGATTTTTTAATAATTTTCCTTTTGGCAGGTGGAAACAGCTTTTGGG